ACAAATTGGAAAGCGCAAATTTGTGTAAAAATATGTGCTTATTTTGAGAGCCTAATAGATAGCACAGAACAAAAAAGCTATTCTATCAAAAGAATGCCATTTTCTCTAACGGACGCTGATTTGCCTGAAAAAGGTCGGATTTTAGTTTGCTTTGTTTCTGTAGAAAGCTAATTACGGTACTATTTGTGTTATAACAGGACTGTGATGTTCCTCGCATATCGATTCTACGTGTACACTTGGATACGGGTGCGTGTGATGTATTCAATCTGGATGAAGCATCTGGTGAAGAATTCGAGAATAGTGTTTATTTCGAAAATGTGGTACTTGGATGTGGGCAGAGGCAACTTTACATGTACGAGCGGAGTGTTGTAATGGGACCAATCCCGTTCTGGAAAATTATACTGCTTGAGGTTTGCTCTATTTCATATCTGTTTCTCGAAAATACTTCGTATTTGTGATATGCAGATATGTTAAGCATATTGCTTACTTTGATGCTTTGGTGAGCTGTTGTTTTTTCGTCGCGTTCATTTTCGTCATGTGCGCAGCCGGTAACTTCTCTCCATTCTCCTCTGTTCCGGACTTCTTATCCAGTAATTCCTATAGGCTTTTAATTGACCCTTTCCTCATTATTTGTGACCTTCCATATGATATTCCAGCACTGCGTGGCTTCCAGTCAATAATCTTCTTCATTCATGCATTAATCCGCTGTCCCTTATTTTTGCCACATAAGCAGCCCAGCTTCTACTCCTCACATACATTGTCTTGATGTGTAATATTACCTACCCCATCGAGCCGCAGTACTTCGTTGGAGACGTGGAATTTGCTGCCTTTCGTCGATCTAAGGCTGATATTGAACCATTGCCAACTTTTCATCTTAAGTGTGCTGTTTCTTAAGTATGCCTCTGTTCCATACAGCGGAACTGATGCATAGTGGGATAGAAAAGTACCGCCTGCGCAGATGACTCCATGTTAGTGCTGGAAAAGATGACAGACAAATTGATGAAGCTGTCCATGCTGTTTTTTACTTAGCTCCTAAGCCGGCTTGATATTTCTCTATATCGTTTTTTCACAGATGTGTGTGATTGTTCATAAGTTAGCAGCTGATTCTCGAGTCTTCTGTCGAAATGTGGGTAATATGAACGTCGCCCATCTGTTTTTTTCCTCCGCAGATTTATAATCCAGTTTCCTTTGCATTAACCGCAAATTTTTTTACATATACTATAATGAATATGCCGTCTTCTGCTTTGAGCACAGCGTCTTCTGCGAAAATAAGTATTTGGAATATTTCGATTTTGATCACAACAGTGGACTTATTTTTTTTATTTCTATTATTAGCGTTAATATTATTATCAGATTTGTCTCATTTGTGCTTTTTACTGCAATTCTGATTTTACTTTAGGAGAGTATGACTTTCGTAATAACCAACGAAACAATTAGGGCAGAGGAGAATGAAGTGAAATGCAGTCGTTTCCCGATTGTTCTGGATGGCGATAAACGAAGGGTTTTCAAACTGCGTGATAGCCACGATATTGTTATTTATGATGGTAACAGGAAC